AAAACAGTTTACTGCCAAATGATTACTGATGACTATAGGAATTATCATAATTCTTATAAGTACTTAACAAACACCTATATATGTTCAATGCAAAATTTCAAATACGTCATGATATCAAAATTCATCACAATAGAATTGTTTTTAGAGTTCTGCTACAAAATACTAGGCTATGTCATTATTAAAAAATTTTATCTCTAGAAACAAAATTATTTCTTATTTTTTTGGAAAAAAAACTTCATATATTTAACAATAGCTTATGCACATATAAATTTTAATATCTACTGTTAATCCAACTTAACAAATAAATAGTAATACACTGTAGAGTAATATCCCCGATGATGAGTTATTAAGATAACATTTAACCCTATATAATATTAAATACAAAGTGTTCTTCATCCGCATACAAAGTTATTACATAGTCAAGCCAATACAATGATCCTGACGTGATGTCTCAATGTGCAATGAATAATTAATCGAAACATTAAAATAGCTACATATATCTATTAACTCACAACAGAGCTATTGTCATCCAAATTAATGTCATCAATACATCTGCAAAATCGAAACAATGCATCTACGCGAGCACTTTAGTGCACTAGACAAATCAGATAAGCAAAACAAAGTAGCAAATTTCAAAACTAAGCTAAATCGTACCTAAAAAAAACTGCATTTTATATAGCCTGATATTTTTCATCGAATGAAGACCTAATGACACCAATTTTTTGCTCAGTGTGTGCACAAATGTTGATACAGATTTGCAGGCCGAATCATTTCGAGCTGACTGGGGGAAGGGGGGCGAAAGTAGGTAGTACTTTCACCATGTATAAAGTGAATTATTTATTTAAAGGTTTCAATTGAAGCAATATAAAAAGATAAATTTTAAGTTTATGTAGGTAATTGACACGGTTAAAAGGAAAAGATTAATGCTTTAATGCTAATGCAAAATACTACAAAATAAAAGTTTAATGAATAATTCACGGTTAAGAAGGAAATAAATTTAATCCGAGAAAAAATCATAGACCGCATTCATAAGAGCGACAATAAGAAAAAACTTAACAAATAGTATGGGATAGCGTATTAGTCACATCCTTCTTAAATGTATACAATTTCTGATGGCGAGTCTACAGAATAAATAATGATCAATCACATTAGTATAATATCTTCAGATATGCGTCAACTTTGTCTATATAAATAATTTCGTTATATAAAATCGTCAATATACGGATAGATATAAAAATGGAGTCCTTTAAAATTCACGTCTTAAGACTATATATCATATCTATTCTCGCTCAGTTCCAAATACTCAGAATGGGGGGAATGGATTGTTAGTAATGAAGAGTTTAGCCACTGCTGGTATCAATATACCCTATCAAGTCGACCTCCACACGGTTCTTCCTGAAAACCATCGTGTCTAATTTATTGTTGAATTCATCAGGATAGGCTAACTAACCTGGCTTTTCATCCTCATCAATCATCCCTCACTGGTTGCCCGCCAGTGTATACTGATAGTGCAGGCGGGTTTACCATTCCATTATCATCCATAAAAATATACTTAGAATGAACCAATCAATAACAACTAAATTCTATAAGGAAAATATATCATTAAATAATTTAAAATTCATTGTACATTTGCTTCATTTTCAAATCACAATTTTGTCAATATTATTTAATTATGTTACAGATATATTTTTAGTGAAATAATAACAACGAAATTATTCGTCGTTTTTAAAGTTGTATATTAAACTCCGTTATCTAATGTAATATCAAATTTTATCTCTTCAAATATATCCCGAAGTCATCCTTCTGAGAATTAACTATGTAATTTAAAACATCGTTTTTTGTATCTTTATTCGCTTATACACTAAGTAGGTATCTTAGTCAGAATGGCCTAGACTTTATCAGTTACAAATCATGTTTTAAACTTGCGGTTTGTTACAAAACCAAACAGAACAGGTGGCTGGATAGATGTTGTAAATTTTATTTTGTTTTCTTGCATATTACCAACGTTTTATATTTATTTCGAACAAAAATATAACAATAATTCAACGGTATATTTATTTTAACCTTTTCTACGTCTAACGTCTAATATACCTTGTTAAATAAAAATACGTTCTTTGTATCTAAAAATAGCTAAAGTATTTGTATTAATATTTCAACGTTTTCATTACAAAAACCACTATATATTTATTTTCATACTCATATGATATGTTCAGTACAAATCTTACGAAATAAGACTATTTTTGCATTTTATCGACATATCTCTATTTATTTGAAACAGTATTTATAATTATTTAAACATTATCATGCACATAAAAGTTGGATACCTTTTGTTATTGATTCTTTAAGTATCCACTAGTCAAAAAATTAGATATAGAAGTATCCCACCATTCAACAACTTGAATGGAGGAACTGTTTCAGATAAAGGATCTTTTGAATTATTCATTTCTGCCAATTCCGCTTCTAATGCCATTGTTATCCTGGAATGTTGAACCCGGAAAACTTGATTATAAATATATCAGTATTATCAGTAGCGCGAATGATATAATTTAGCAATATAAACTACAAGTATTATAGATAAAACTCGACTTAGAATTTAGAATTAATATCACTACGCAGAATTACTATGTATAATGTACACACATATGTAATCGTACGACTGATGTCGAGTACAATTTATTAGTTAATATGCATTACCCATAATAAAAATAAAAAACAATTTTCTCGATATATTAAATGAGGGCCAATATTGAATGAAGAAATATAAAAATACTACTTTGCGTTATTATTATTATTGTTTTCTAATTATTGTTAGCTAAATATAGTATAATAATAGATGAAAATGTAATGTTTCGACCCAAGAATGAACTTTATAATTGTCATCTTCCTAAATTGACGTCATGATAAATCCCACATCGATGAAGTCAAAACAATTAGGCACAAAAAATTCAAGGCATAACAGATTTACGTAATTGTATGGAATACCAAATAGACTTCAATCACACATAATGATATTTATTCGTTTGTTTAATTTATTCGGATATTCCCAAAGGGGTCTACCGTAAAATGAAATTTCGAAATTTTGGACTTAATTTCGTGTTTTCGTTCACACCGACATCGGATTGAATTCAGAGCTTAACATTTTGTTCCTTATAAATCATACCAAAAAAATATATTTTAATATTTTAAAATGATATGTATTATGTAATTTTAAAATTAAATTCGTATTCCGTTCGGCCCTAAAATTTCGAAAAACGTTTCATGTATAATCTAAGATTTCTGGTAGGCCCTCAGATTATCTATTTTCTCTTTAATTTTTCATTATATTATCGTATATTATTAAATAATTTTGAATTCAAAATAAATTTACTATGCTGTAACAACTTGGGTTTTGTTATTTATTAGTAGATCCGAATTTTGTATCATTTTTTCTTTTTCAAGGATCAGTTCTAGCTAATAAATTATAAAAGAGATCTAGTATGAAATAATAATACCTATACATTTTATCAAATAGTCATAACAAGTAACAAAAACTACATGATACAGCAAAATTTATACACAGACATGTAAGGGAACTTAGCTCTTTCAAAATAATTACTGTAATACTAAGTGCTTCGAGCAAAGATTAGTATGAACAAATTGCGTACATCACTCAAGTGGTTAGATCCAGGAAACCATCAAGAGGGGTGTCTTCGTGATGGTGGTCGCAGGTTAATGGAGACTGGCTGCTAATAACGCTATTACGTTAATACTGTGGCTTGGGCCCGAGCAGCCTCCAAGCTGCCTATGTAAACTAGTAATTACCTTTTACGGATTTAGCGGTGAAAATTGATTCTATTTATAAATAAACTTATAATTATATTTGTTAACTAAACACAAAATTTCTGTAATGTAATCTTAAGGAAACTAATTAACTAAATAAGCAAGTAGCTAACGAACTAAATGTAATTGCAGTGAAACATTTCCATTCTAGTTTACAGTTATTCTATCTTCGAGTCAGTTTTGATCCCTTTATAATTTCTTCATATTCTGGGGATCTTCATCTAAGTCAATTGCAGCTTATTATTGCTTGTTTCAATATTAGCTTGAACTTTTTTTACTATTCATTTACTTTAAAAAATTAACATCACAAATTTTTCTAAATTCTTATAGCTAAAAAAAAGTGTTTTGACGATATTCTCTTTTATAACTAATTACATATTAAACTATATATCTTCACAAATAATCTTATACTTTTACGTTTCAATTATTAGCCTTAAAATAAATGGCCTCCACTTCCCTGTCATAGCTTCTACCTTTCTACCTTACTTGGGTAAAATTGTGAAGTGCTCTAGACCGTAATCGGTTTTATTTATGCTCCTGACAATCTGATCTGAACTAAGTATTTTATATATAAATTCACCTTCTTTATATATTTAAAATATTATTGATAATCTATTAACTGATAATTAAATGTATCTAACCACCAGTTAGTATTTTATTGTCTCCGAGTTAATTAAACATTTTTTCGCTTTAGGTACAACGATAGTAAATATACGCGTACATAAGTATTTTTACGATAAATTTTCATGATAAGTTATCTACTAGGTAAGTATGTCAAGTCTAGAATACAGTCACACTTCTATTTTATTATATGCATAATTAAGGTTACCATTATTACATGCCTACCTAGGCTTGCCTATATCTAAAAATAAAGTTGTAACCTTAATTTATAATCTAACTAGTTAACACCTACCTACTTACGACAGTAAAGTTACATACACATATAAAATTTGAAATGTTTAAACCTGTTTAAATAAATGACAAAGTTACACCATACAAAATTTTACATTCGTCATCAATTTACATACATAAGTAATGCTTAATTATAAAATGTTAAACTTTACACCTACCTGCGATATCGATAGTAAAAATGAACCGTAAACTTATATTTTTATAAATTCAAGAAAAATAAAGCACTCGTATTAAAAAAAATCAATTGGAATTAAAAGTTTAAAACTTACCGATAAAAATGTGCAAAAAGTCTGAAAACTGAAACAGTCGAATCGTAACTTCTGATCGCTATCGGTCGAATACGAAAACTAGTTCTGGTCTAATTTTCCTGATCACAAATTTCAGTTCACTGTCGCACTGTCACTTTATGCACTGCCAATTTTTTTTTTTATTTTATATATTTTTTTTAAAGTTCTCACGCCACGGTCAGTGCGTATGAGTGGCGTGGTAACGAGCCGATGGATCGTTGCGAACTGGCAGCCGGCGTTTACAGCCGGCGACGCTGCAGTAGCATCCAAACTCGATTTCTGTAGACTAGAGACACAGAATAGGGGCACGTACCCGCTTCACACTGCACAGACGTCACTGTGTCCGTTGTACATTTAATAGTTTTGTGTTCTTGCTAAAAAAACTTCTTTGTAAGTAAATATTATTCTTGTAAATTTTAAATTTCCTTTATAAATACATGCTTAATAAATATTTGTTTAACATTTACTCCTTGTATGCTATATACTTTACAAATACAAAATTTTGTAAACTTAACTTTATTAATTTAATAAATTTTATTTATAAGATTTTGGATACAGACCATAATATATATAATTTATTTAATTAAAAAGAAAATGAAAAACAAAACGGTAAATCTTAAATGAAAACGAGTTGAGAGTGGATAAAATTCGGAAGTCTATAAATAAGTTCGCGGTGAGCGAGTGGGACCCTGACATTGATAAGGCCAACACAGATGCTACAATAACCGTAACTACGCCACTGACGGCACTGTGTTGCTTGTTGGAATACGTGAAGCAGCAACATCGTACGATACTCACACCACCAATAAAATTCGTGTTTTTAACACTTTTTTGTAGCAATTCGCTGACAGCGGACGTTGCGCAACTGTGTATTGTGTTTTTAGTATGGTCATAATTAAGTAAATTTTATTTACAACGTATTGTAAGATTGTCATATTTCTTTTTATTAGATAAATAAAAAGAGTAAAATATTTTTATACGCAGTCAAAATATAAATATTTTTTATACTCATCATAAATGAATGCAATGTAAATAGTATTTTCAATGAACTTTTTAGTACTATTAACTAGATAAGTAAAAAGACTAGGTACGTTTTTAAATTACTCAGTAATAAATTTATTTACTACAGAGATGTTTCTCTTTTTATATAATTTCAAATTGAAACTGTGTATCTAGTATTCGTTCGTATATATTGATTTAAAATAAAGACTTTTTTAAATTTGAAATTAATAACTTAATAATTAAAAAACAACTACCTATTTAGATATTTTTTGTACGTTTTTTTTATTACTCTTTTCTGTTAGTTCAATTTTATGTTATTAGAGAAATTGATATGAATAGCCTGAAGGCAAACCACTTTTAATTAAAAAAATCATTCAATTGACTAGGATATTAACTTTAAGATGTTCAAAAAACTGTCAAACAATGTTTTTTTTTTAATTCATCTAAAAAATATATGCAATATCTCTCGAACTATATTGTTCAAAAGTAAACACGTATAAAATACCTTTGCGTATGTTCTCAAATAAAAAATAAACCCAATAACGATGCGTCTTACATGTAGTTGGCCTTCAGCTTACTACCAGCTGTTCGGGTATACAATGTTGGCACCCTCTTGTACTTAATTGGCTGTCGTCGTTTAATCTTTTGTAAATCTTGAGGACAAGCCCCGTATAACTGTAAAAAAAACACATGTAAATTCATACCAGGGAAAATAGCAGACCATGTTCTTCTCCATTATCATTCACACCACGTGTATACCGGGGGGATAGAGATTGTTATTAATGGCGACGTGAGTTAAGTGAGGTAAGTTAAGAGTTAGATTTTAAGCAATATACCCAGTCAGGTGGACCTCCACGCGGTTCCCCTTGGATACCGTGATTAATTCTTATTGAATCCGTCTCATTGAACTAACTAACCTAGTTTCATCCTCACCTATCACTGCTCACAGATGCCCCGCCAACGTATACCGATAGTTCAGGCGGGGTTACCTTCCCATCATCACTCATTTAAAAAAAAACACGTGTATACCCAACTTCACAAAGATTGGTGTGTCTATTAAGACACCAAGAAGTAATAAACAAACTCACTTTCAAATCCTTATTTATAATATTAATGTGAAAGTGAATTTATTTGTTACTTTATATCACCTTAACAGCTTAACTAAGCACTCTAAAATTTGATATACAATTTGATATATGTATTATAATGGAATTAAAAGTAGCCTATACACATGTGTACACATGTCTAATTACAGTATTAAAATATAGTAAAAATATGTGAGTCTGTTTTATATCTAGGTACATACTCGTATATACTAGTGAAACTAAAAGTTGGGTTAAATAATTATAGTGACTAATTATATGTTTTCTTTATGTTTTACCATTAACTTAACAGTAGTTTACCAATATCCAGTTATTCCAATTAGTAATTTGTAATAACAACACTTCATGTCTTAGCAGTTCAATAAATTGTTATTGAATGCATATATGATGCCAAATACTACGGGTATAGTAAAAAAAATATTCATCTCTTTGTGCACAACCGATTGGTAAAAGTTATTGACCCAGATATACCAGAATGTTCAAATAACAAATGTCCAAACATTTATATCAATAAAATAATTCTTTTCAATTTCATCACCTTTATAAAAATAAAACGAGCACTTTTATTAGAAAGGACGTGGAATATTTTTTTTTTATTTTAAATATATTAAAAGATTTGTTGACATTGTGTGTTAATTTATTTTAGAAATATTTGACTGTTTTCACTATTTTTTCATTGAAGGTCGACTTTATATTATGAAGTCAAGCATTACACGGAAGTTGAACTACACAAATATCAAATCCATTCTCGAAGAAGTGAGAAATATAAATTTTAGCTCATGGACTATCAGGAAAGCTTCTACAATTAATATACATAACTGACCATCGACCAGAAGATGTAGATCACTTTGAAATTTAGCCAAAATAAAGGACTATGAATTAATATTATCAGTTTTAAGTAATTAAAGTCTATTTTACAAATCAAAAGTAGCTTAACTCTTAATGAATAACATTTTATTTTACAGTATACAACATAATTTTACCGAATTAAGATTTTCTCCGTAAAATCTACATATTAAAATTAATATCGTACCAACTGGAATATTGCCAAAATTTGCTCATAATAAAATTGTCAAAGACATCATATAATATAGACTCAAAAATTATTAAAAACTATTAAAAAGAGAAAAACATTTTTATGAATTTTTCAATTAGTTTGTATTTGAGTTCTACCTGTAAAAATGAACATTATCATTTATACAAATAATTTATAATATCTTAACAAACTGTTTATTTTTATTTATAAAACATTAATCAACAGCTGAAATTACAAGATCTAAGAAAATGATAGTTTAGAGAGGAGTTCAATAAGTAAACACTAAGCATGGATTTCCCAAAATTCATGAATGAATGAATGAGATAACAGATTCCGCAATCATGGGTCGTGCAGTTATGGGCGTTTACCAACACGTGTGCTGTGGGTCATGGTGTGATTCATTCATGTGTTCGTTTTAAGAGCGTTCATATCCAATTCTGAATTCTTATTTATTATTCTTTTTATAATTTTACTTACTTACTTATTTTACAAAAAAAATGCAATGAACGATATATTAAAACGTGCTCTTTCATATCATCAAGTTATAATTAGGATAAATTATGAATAGGAAGTTCTACAAATATATATAAGATTTTTATGAAATATACACCAAAATTTTAAACGTTGATTATAAAAACAATATTTTTTTTAGAGAAAAAAAAACCATGAACAATGAGATATTAGACATTTTATATTGAAAATATTTGAATTTATAAATATAATACGAAGCCCTGTGTCTATAAGAAAAGTTTGCTTCAAAACAAGTAATTTTTGCTTTGCAAAGAAAAATTCACCTTCGATATCAAATAGAATCATACTCAATAGAATAATCAAAGTCGGTTCAAAATTGACGATGTTACAAAACCTAACAAAACACTCTCTCCTTTGCAAAGTTGTATAAAAATATTTGCATATTTCAAACTAAAAAGTTATTACATTATTAATACTTTAATTAGCCATCTTTACTAATAGCTAGTATAGTATTATATTATCTGTGCTAATAGATATCTTAATTGTGATAGTGTCTTTGTTTCCGTATAGCACCCTAATGGCTTTACCAATCCTTATAAAATTTGGTATACACGTACTTTATAGGATAGAGAAGGATATACTTTTCATCCCAGTCACTAAACATATCCTGATAACGCAGACGAAGTCGCAGGCGAGTAAGTAAATAAATGATTCAAAATATTGAGAAATGATAAATTGTTCTTGAAACTTGATAAATACGAAGTAATATTGTATATACTTCGGTATGATGACTCTTAATCTACAGAAATTGGATTATTATTTTTTTACTTCATTTATAATTTATATAATTGCAATTTCATTTTTCACGCCCATCATGCAATGCTTACTCGGTGTAATCATATTGCTTGTACTATAAAATTACCATATAAAATGCAATACTGCAGTTCATATTTCGTAAACCGTGATCTAATTCATATTTCAACGTGTTAACGAAATTATATATAATATATGTACTTCCAATTATCTTTAGCTAGCTGTTTTTCGGGACTTCCCTTTTTATGTATTGTAGAGTGGTTCGAATATCAGCTGAAATTGTCTAGTTTAAACTGTATGTTTTATAGCAAAGTCTTGTAGTATTGTAACAAGAAAGTAACATTAATAACACGCAGTACTTAACTTTCTATAAAGCTAATAAATAATTATAGGTATATATATAATTATACAATATTTATAATTATATATTAAATTATTATTATATATAAATATTTATGCTTTAATCAAGAACATTAAATTTGTGAATTATATTTTATGACGTAACAAAATTTATTCTTAACAAGTACCTTAGGATTCAAGTCCTATGAAGAAATAATAAGAGATATTTAAATTATAAACCCTGAACTTAAATTATCCAAAAATATAATATGTAGAAAATTTAATCTTCCAAAAACGCAAATCGATGGAAAACGACGGAACTTCCTTCCGTACCAGTCACCAACCCCGATTACTGAGAGATGCGGGTTTGAATCCTGTCGGAAAGAGTTGTCACAAAATAAAATTTACCAAACTAATGTAATAACTTCAAACGTCTCCGTGTATGTAACTGTCATTTTATCAATAAATATCTTTCTGTCTGTCAGTTTGTTAAATGCTGGTGTTTAAC